AGTTAGCTAATGGGACTGGCTCCAGTAGTACTCAGAGACTGGCGTTGAGTTTAAATCTTAACTGAAGGAGTCAACAATTAACTGTAACATCCAAAGTAAAGAATACGTCACTTAAATATGTTAGGAGCTTAAAATATTTGTGTCTGCTGTATAGAGCTGCTATGAAATGTTGCTAAATATTCAGCAGGCAAAGGCAAATCCCTAAAATCTCTGAAATTATGAAGCTAATGGTAATTAGCATTATCTTAGCAGGGCACAGCAAGTTACCTGTTTATTAAACACCGCTGTACAGGCTTGCTTGGCTAACACGCTCATGAGTTTGTGACTGTATCTGGCCTTTTAGCATGAACAGGATTAAAAAGTCAAGCATGTATGCTAGCATTCGTATTTCCACCACCACACAAAGCCACGCGTCGTACTCCACCCCCTACTCTGTAATGAGACAGCCAATGAGCGGTAGTCTATTATTATCCACCCAGATAAAAGATGCATGTTCTCCCACATGATGCATAACTTCACTTGAGTCCAGTTTCCTTTATTCACCAAGAACATTATGAATATTTTAGCGTTCCAGTCTACAGACAAATATTTGTCAGAAATGATTAATTATTTAGCGCTGCATTCACTGTGCATAATCTGTTTAAAGATCAAATGAATACACAAAGAATTTCAGCATTTTCCTCTTTGCCAGCACTAATCTAAGTCACACTGCAGTCAAACTGAGCTGCTATCAATTCAGTGAATGCAGAGTTAGTTTACTTTCTGCTCTGGTGTCCAGACCGAGCGTCCTGCATCAGCCAGATCAGTTTTCAGACTCAGGATAGGACGATCCTGTAACAGTCCATTGATTTTTGCCTCTTTTCCTCCTGCCCGGACCACTCTATAGTGCCAACATTGCTGAGCACCTCACTGACTCTCTATTAACCTCAGTTTGTTTTGATGAGCTTTAATTTATACAACAGGCTACATGATTAGCATATATTTGTTAATATAAAAAGGTAGCAGGGAATGGCAGTTTGCACAGAGTACAGAATCAGATACATCAAAATTATACAGTTTTCCTCTTAACCCCAAATGCAGTAAGTCAGACCGATGACATACATCGATCGGCCACTTCATTAAGTACACCTCCTTGTTTCTACACTCATTGTCCATTTGAATCAGCTCCACTTACTATATAGAAGCACTTTGTAGTTCTATAATTACGAATTATAGTCCATCTGTTTCTCTGCATGCTTTGTTTCACTCTGTTCTTCAGTAGTCAGGACCCCCATAGGACCACCACCGAGCAGGTGTTATTTGGGTGGTGGATCATTCTCAGCGCGGTAGTGACACTGACATGCTAGTGGTGTGTTAGTGTGTGTTGTGCTGGTACGAGTGGATCAGACGCAGCAGTGCTGCTGGAGTGTCCACTCATTGTCCACTCTATTAGACACTCCTACCTTGTTGCTTCACCTTGTAGATGTAAAGTCAGAGACGACAGCTCATCTGTTGCAGCACAATTTGTGTTGGACATCCTCTAGTCCTTCATCAGTGGTCACAAGACGCGGTTGGATGGATATTTTTGGTTGGAGGCTATTCTCAGTCCAGCAGTGACCCTGAGGCGTTTAAAAATCTGATCCATTTATTAACACAGTTTCCAGAGTAAAAAAACACCTTAATTCAGGCTTTGAATGATGTGTTTTAGTCCATTTTTAACTCCTCTGTGCAGAAAAGGTCATTTTCTAGGTGTTGATTTTGTATGCTAATGACTACTGCTCTCATTGGCTGTCTCGGTAGAAGGGGCGTGGTAAGAGCTTAGTAACACATTTTCTACAGTTGTTGGATTATTAAGTGCATGTAAACGCACTCACTGTCGTGTTCTGACCTCAGTATCCGAAATGGCAGTGCGATGGCCAAAGTAGGAAGGGTGGGTGAGTGGGCGTGGTTATTTGTTTGGGAAACTGTTGCATTACATTTTCTGCTGAAGGGAAATATGCCAAAATGTCAGAGGCTCCACATTTCACTTTTCTTCAGAAGGTTGATACAACGAACACCGTATATCCAAAATGGGAACTTTACAGGAGAAGGAAAAAACATACTTACTTTTAATGTAAGTCGTAAGTCATTTTGGGCCGTTTTTTTTGGTCCATTCTTCATGAAATTTACACACAATGTAAAGGGCAACAGGCATTTTCAGATTATGTCAAAAACTGAAAAACAAAAATGGAGATACGAGGTTTTCTTCCGACAGCAGCGATAAGAATGTTAAATTTGAATACGTTTTCCAGCCTCTCTTTATCCCTTAGAATGAAACAGGATGTTATTGTACCTTTAAGACTGATAAATGTAAATTGCCTCTTGTCCAAATGGCTGCCATGTATTGGGCCTTATTTAAAAAGCAGTCTGCAACACTCTTTATAGCTTCAGCTTGAATGGGTGGGTCTAAAATGGTTTTACAGCTTAGTTTCCATACAGATTATATGCACTGGGGAGTGAACGTTTTCATACTGTGTTTTGATATAATAAACTTTTTTGATTTAAAAGCATTATATAGGCCCTTCAAGGCAAAACTAAAGAGGAGAACGGAAGTGCTGTGTAGTAGAATGCTGTCCTATGTTCTACTCTGACCATATATTTTTCACTGTCACTACAAAATACTGCTGTCCTGTCCCGAGTGACTGACCTGAAGGAACCTCAGTCATGTGACAGGACTGGTTTATTCGAAGAGGAAGATAATGGGAATTGTCACTGTAATTAGAGAGATCGTTAGGAGGGAGGAGGAGAGAGTTATTTAGGGCAATTTTTCATGCTTCAGCTCTCCACATGGTGCTGTGTGGGGACTGTAATGTGTCCGTGTGTTTGTGTGTGTGTGTGTTTGTGTGTGTGTATGTGAATTGTGTGAGATGCATCTTTAAGTGAACAGGTATGTAAACAGGTTTATGTGCTTCACATACTAGTGTGAGAGTTGAGGTGTGTGTGTAAAATAGAAATAAAAAATATTGTATGTTCATGAAACTTATATTTCAGATGAACTAAAGTGCTAAATTTGAGCTTATATGTCCATGTAATGGGGGTTATGCTAGGGTTTATACCTTTTCCACCTCAATGCCCACCAATTTATCACTAGAAAGCAACAACACACAGCTGTGTTTGAGTGCCTACCCCAAAATATTTGACATGTATCATTGAACATTAAATGTCAACAGATTAGGCTAACACAGGGTATTACTACCCTGTTGCAGCTCCACAGCAAAACTAGATTTTTGGTAAACGTAAAATAATCCTCCTTTGCAGTAAAATAAATCTGTACTGATCGTTCAACACAGTTTAACAATAAATGGTCTTAAACGCTGGAGTTAATGTAGAACTGCTAATTCACCCTTTAACCCTGAAGACTGGCACACAGACTGCTGGTCACAAAGCAACGGAGACAGCAATCTCGCCTAGCCAGTAGCTAACAAAAAGACAAAGAGAGAGATTTAAGACGAACATCGATAATTTGGAGACGAGTGGACTTATTTGCATTTGAAAGCACTCCAGCTGGTTTCCTGATACACTTAATCTGTGAAGAGACAGTCAGATACTAAAACGTCGCAAAGCTGAAGTCAGCTTCTCATTCACCAGCTTCTTGTTCTAATTTTATCTTAAATGGTGCAGCAGTTACATTCTGGCCTCATGCACCATTTAAGGTGAAACAGGAGAATTAGAACAAGAAGCTGGCGAATGAAAAGCTGACTTCAGCCTAGTAAAAAGTCAAATGTTGAGAGACTTTTTACAAAAAACTATTCTACTTTTGCGAAAGAGTTTCCTGCCAGAGATGCCAGAAAAGTGGCTATAGCTGAGCTAAAGTTTAAAGCAGAGCAAAGTAAGTCTGTGTTTTCGTTTGTTATATTTTTTAGCCTATACTAGACTAGGACATTAGCACATACGGAGACACATTTACAGGCAAGATGGTAAAACGTTCAATAAAATGGACATAAAATACTCTGGCTCCTTAAGTGGTTTGATTTTTGTTGAAAGGACCAAATGGCTCTTCTTACCATTTGGGTTGCCGACCCCTGGGCTAACATAAGCTTATTTTATAGCAGGAATCAGGGAGAATGGTAGCAAAGGTCACTTGTGAGTCTACAGCATTGTTGCACTACTGTTTATTGTTGAAGTATTGAAATATTGTTTACTGTTAAAAAAGTGTCTTTTTTAATGTTAAGTCAGTTCATTTTTACAGATTTTTATGATAACAAGTACCATCACTGATCCATTACAGACCACTGCCTCCTCCTGTGCTTCTAGTACTGGCCTGAGGACCATCAAAGGGTGCTTTGCGGCCCACTTGTGATCTGTGGCCCAGTGGTTGAGAAACCCTATTTTATACAGTTAAAATGTTGGGACAAATGAGTAACAGGTGTCTGTAATTGCTCAAGAGCTCCATGTTCCGTTTATTGTGCACACATAAAAGAGCTGTAAATGTAACTACTCGAGTTTGCGTTGTAAGCCTGGTTTTGAGGTATAAAAAGCATTCAGCCAAAAAGAAAACTACAGAAGTCACTACTTATATAAATGCCAGTTAGAGCCATTGCTGAGCATTTGGCCTGTCCATGCTCCGCCAGCAAACGTGTTCTTTTTATACTACGTCTTATATGTTGGCGGTAGACGGATGGCGGCAACCCGAATAATCCATTCTTTTCAATAGAGCAGTGTCCCGCAAGCCACAGTGGTAAGCGCAACGATTTTGTCCAGAGCAGTTTTCCCAACTTTTGCCGTCGACCGAAGCGCAGTGAAATAAACTGGATGTTTATATCATTGCATACAAAATAAATATAATTTGAAACAAATAAAACTCTGAAAATAGAGGTATTTTTGTGGTACAGTTTTTCATTACGTTAATTTTTTTTTTTTTTTATGGGAATGTTTCTTTGAAGCTTCTCCAGCCTTGCTACAAAAAACACATTTGTGGGTGAATATGGATAGGTCAACTGGTTATTGCAAATTACTGACCTCTTCTCCTTCCTCCACCACAGCACCACCAGCTCCACGGCTAGCAGCTGCGACACGGACTTCTCCAAAGAGGACGAGCAGCGGCTGAAGGACTACGTCCAGCAGCTGAAGAATGAACGGGCGGCAGTAAAGCTGACCATGCTGGAGCTGGAGAGTGTACACATCGACCCGTTGAGTTACGACGTGAAGCCCCGCGGAGATTCGCAGAGGCTGGACCTGGAGAATGCTGTTCTAATGCAGGAGCTCATGGCCATGAAGGTACAGCAAGAGTGCACAGTGGTGCCGGGCAGTATGGCCAAAAACCATATCACAATATGTTTATCCACATCATTCAATATCAGCAGTTATAGATAATAATTATATGCACTTCTCAGTTTTAATAGTGTTTTGCTTAGAAGGAAGCAAAAGATATCTGTTTTATGCTGCAGAAACCTTTTTTGAGGCAGTTTTTTCTTGTTCCAATCTATTTTGCTCAAACTCATGGCTTTTCTTAGTTTCCAGTTATTGGGTGATCTTTCGGTTTATGTTAGTTTTTGCTGCTAGCGGTGGATTGAGGCACAGAACAGCATAGCATTATTTATTAAGAATGAGAATCATTGATATAGAATAAATGAGACTTTCATTACAAAATTCTATATTTCCATTGGTAATCATTTTGAATACATTTTTGAAAAGAATAACAGCTGACATATAATGGAAAACACATTTTTATTTCTCTAAAAAAGGTATTAATCGCAGATAGAGATCATAATATTTATGTTTAAAGCCGACTACCAACATTAGAATTCATGAAAAAAAGAACATTTTTAAAAATGGTCTTCAATGCACCTTGGAGTGAAACCATCCATCCATCCATCCATCCATCCACCCATCCATCCATCCATCCATCCATCCATCCATCCACCCATCCATCCATCCACCCATCCACCCATTCATCCATCCATCCATCCATCCATCCACCCATCCATCCATCCATCCATTTATTTATTTATTTATCTGTTTACATAAAGAATTATTCCATCCACCTCACACCCAACCCCCAATTTTGCCGTGGCCAATTCCGACCTGCTTCCAAGCTGGAAGAGTGAGGGCTAACACAAGCTCCACCACATCTTTTCGAACTAGGCCTAACAGTCATTTTACAGCACAACATGCTTGGAGAACACTAACAGGAAGTTTTCTTAGGCCAGTTAACAGACACGTGTGTTGGCCAGCATCTCATTGAGTGTTGGAGGAGAGGGAGGACTATCCTCCTCACCTAGAGAGAACTCTCACCCGCGGATGGCTGTGGCATCGCCAAAAATCAACCTCGCAATAGGTCCAACACGAACATGTATTAATATAGTTAGTTATGCCAGGACAGATCCTCTCTGACGCAGCTTACTATTAGCAACGAGCCTTTGTAGCCTGATACAAAGCATCCCGAATCTCACCATCCTTCACCAGTCCGTGGATTCAGTCGGCCGCTGACACTAATAAGAGGAGCATTAGTGTCAATCTGAAGAGCTTTAGCAATTATGGTCTTCAATTTTTGAAGGTCTAGTGTCACTGTAGCTCATGAGAACTCACGGAAATATAGCTCCCAGCTGAGGTTAGAACAGAGTCTGCAGAGCAAAAGAAAAAGGCTTATAAGGTTTAGTATGGCTTTTATGAGGCTAGAACCGTTATGTTCTGTCTGTCCAGATGCTCGTGTGTTTCTTTATCAGGCCTGTTGTAGAGTGTTTTTCCTGGGCTAACACATCCATAACAGAATGCAAAAACAACAGTTGTGAGTCTACAGCATTGTTGCACTACTGTTTATTGTTGCAGTATTGCAAAAAAATATTGTTTACTGTTAAAAAAAATGTCTTTTTTTAATGTTAAGTCAGTTCATTTTTACAGATTTTTATGACAAGTACCATCACTGATCCATTACAGACCACTGCCTCCTCCTGTGCATCCGGTACTGGCTTGAGGACCATCAAAGGGTGCTTTGCGGCCCACTTGTGATCTGTGGCCCAGTGGTTGAGAAACCCTTTTTTATACAGTTAAAATGTTGGGAAAAATGAGTAACAGGTGTCTGTAATTGCTCAAGAGCTCCATGTTCCGTTTATTGTGCACACATAAAAGAGCTGTAAATGTAACTACTCGAGTTTGCGTTGTAAGCCTGGTTTTGAGGTATAAAAAGCATTCAGCCAAAAAGAAAACTACAGAAGTCACTACTTATATAAGTGCCAGTTAGAGCCATTGCCGAGCATTTGGCCTGTCCATGCTCCGCCAACAAACGTGTTCTTTTTATACTACGTCTTATATGTTGGCGGTAGACGGATGGCGGCAACCCGAATAATCCATTCTTTTCAATAGAGCAGTGTCCCGCAAGCCACAGTGGTAAGCGCAGCGATTTTAACAACACATCCACTTCAGCTCAGGTAGGGCTTTCTAATTACCTGATTCGGTGGATCAGGTTTGTTCAAGCAGTTAAAACACCAAAATATCCAGGACAGGGGTCTTGAATCACTGCCCAAATGCTTTTGGTATGTGTCATGGTTGTGATATGTGGAAGAGCTTCCTTTTTGATTGACGTTTTTCCTATTTTTGAACCACTTCACACTAGTAGAGTAGAAAATGCAAAATCTCAGTCCTATAGGAGCTGTCCTCCATATCCCTGTTAATGAATTTGCAATGTGTTTTCTTCAGCAGCTGCCATTCACTGGCTTTGAAGTCACACAGTTATTTGGAATTTCTCATGCATTCTTGTCCATAAATGAACAACGTGTCATGACGCATACAACCCCGAGTTATTATGCGAGCACCAGACATCACAGTACAATTCTGTCTGACCAGCCGACTCAGTGGTTGGTTGATTGACCCAGAAGTAGCATGTCATGCTGGAATTCGAAATTAATTATATTTATTTTTACCAGTCCTGATGGTACAGTCTGATTAAGAAGTGTTATAGACATACAGCATGTTTTTTCACAACATCTGTATCATTCCCTGAGCAACAACTGCTGTATATCTAATTTTTAGTACGTTTCTACTTTTTACCACATACAAAAACAGAAGATTAACATATTAGATCATTTCTATAAGATAATATTCGATTTATCTGAGAAAGACTGTGACTGCAAGCCTACACTAAATTCTGAATCTGTCATTGAAAGTAAGCTTTTCAGTCATCAGTGATGACGGCAGAATGACTGAAAAAGCTGAAATTAGCTATAAACAGAATACAACAAGATGCTTTACGGAATGGTCGGAAGAAGATGACGTTCAAGTTAATCTGGCAAGTATGGAAGTATTGAAGAAGCTGAGCTGAACCTGATATTGTAAGTTTCATGGCTCTATCTGGGAGAGCACAGTGAAGTTGATTTTATATTCTGCGTTCTGTTTTGGATTTCTCATGAAATAAATGCCCACAAATGCTTAAATCTAGCATTTCTCACTTATGAGAAGACAGAGGACAAACTACGACCAAATATATTTCAAATGTGTCTGTCGTTAAGCGCACTAAACATAATGTTTTGGTAACATAGATGCTTTAGTTATTGAGGGACTGTCTAAAATATGTATATCATGGATGTCTTTCTAAATTTAATTTATGTATTTTTGTAAAAGAATGCAAAACAACAGTTGTGTATTTTAGCATATTTTATGTTGGCCGCCATTTTATAAGAGCAGTAAGCCACTTGAGGCCGTGCGTTACTGCGATGTTTTAGAACACGCTTCTCGTGAATCGGAGTAACGCACAGCCTCTCATGGCTTATTGCTGTTGTAACTTCTAAGCTCATTAAAAGTACTTTGTGTGGTGCAACCCAGTTTGATTTAGTAATGAACCTGGGCTCAGTAAACACTTAGGTTACAGCTAGCCTGCGTTCACTGGACTACAGCTTCATTTCGTGTATCCAGAAAAATCATCTAGTTTGTTCCACCATTGTGGCTGATGGCAATTTTAACTCTTAGATTTACCTCTTGGTGGAACGTTCCATTGACTGCTGTGGCATGCAGCTGCTGTTGGTGACAGAACTTCCAAAAACAGATCAGTTTGACGTTGTCCATCTACAATCGTATTGTAAATCCAGTTTTGTTTTGTTTTGTTTGTCTTTTTTTTGATGTAAAAACTAGTGGAAAAAGTCAAGACAGTAGACTCGAACCTGTCAACATAGAAGGTAAAAAATGTGAATACTATCTAATTATTTTAATTTAATTTATTATAATTTAATTATAATATATCTAGATATCTAGACATCTAAGAGTTCAAGTACTGTGTCTTCACAGCATACCTGTATTTCAAATTGCTTTTACTTTTACCAAATCTGAGTGTGATATAGAACTGCTCAGTCTATCAGATAAAACAGCTTTTCACTGATACGTTCCTCACAGCTACAGTAGAGTACCGTACAAAGTACAGGAGCCCTGCATGAGATTTATGTGGCCTCAAGCTGAGCACTTACACGAGAAGTGCCACAAATTCCATGTGATGCTATTACAGTAATGGCCACCTGGGCTCGAGCAGGGTGCACATGTTTTGGCCTAGCAGAGCTGTGAAGGAAATTCATAACTGAAACTCTGCCCTCAGGGAAATGGAGACTGAAATTACGGCTCGGGCATGTTCGGGGAGAAAGACAGGAGGAGGGAGACTCCACAGGTAAACGAGAGCCCTTTGACGTTTTTCCAGTGTTCACCTCAGCTCTGGCATTCCGGTGGTTTCCTCAGTGGCCCGCAGCCTGGAGACGGTTTTAGATCAGAGAAAGAGGGAGACTCCCCCGGCGCCCTTTGAAGCCATTCTTTCATCTGAACTTCACCTGTGTGCACGGGTGACCTTCAGGATGACATTTTCGGAGCTAGCACGGCGTCCTGACAGGAGATGTGATATTAGCACAGGTAGAACAGACCAAAGGCCTGGATCTGACGGCCCCTCAGGATCCCCGAGCACTCTGAATAGAAATTACTCTCAGGATTATGCTGGAGTCAGCACGGCTGTGCAGTTAACTCTTAAGATATCCAGAATGGTGTCTGAGCAGAGGTGAATGGTAGAGGTGGGAAAAACATTGATGCAGCGTAATTTCGCAATATTTTGGGTTTAAAATCGTATTGTGGGCTCCTGAGTGGTGCAGCCGTCAAAGCATCGGCCCTGTCATCGAGTTCGATCCCAGCAGCGGCCTGTGGCGCAGTGTCCGTAAGAGCATGATGGTCTTCGCTCTCTCTGGGTGGGCAGAATGGTTCTCCCTCTCGTCCTGATGCTCAGTGCAATACTAGCCAACACTGCTATCTGTTTGTTGGCAGTAATTGGCAGTAAGTTTTCTCTTCCAGGCATTTTGGGCTGTCCAAGGATTTTGTTTTAGCGTCAGTTTGAAAAGTTATGGCACATCATGCGTCTCAAAGGAATGTACTAACCTTCATCCTCCCAGCTTGGTAGCATCATGTGATAGAGGGAGACCTAGTGAGTAAGTGGAAATTTTCAACTATATTAGTGGGAAAATGGGATAAAATTTAGGAAATAACAATAGTATCAATACATTCAGTAAATGGAGGCCCAAGTATTAATATGTCCTCATTACATTTCCGTACAGCATTTGTTCAAACAATTTTTTCCCCCTTAGAAAATTAATTGCATGCAGACAATTCAGATCTCAAACTGAGTGTTGAGAAAACTCTAATCTGACTGCTACGAAGGACGTCTCTCATACTGACCCTCACAGACATTACATACAGACTCACATAGCACATATATACACACTAATTAACAACCACCTGGGATGCCTTAGCAATGACCTAGCAACACCTTAGCAACCACTTTGGATGCCATAGCAATGGCCTAGCAACACCTTACCATCCTCATGCATACCATAGAAACAGCCTAGCAACATCTTAGCAACCACCTGGGATAACATAGCAACACTGTATCAACCACCTGGGATTTTATAGCAATGGCTTTATCAAGCCAACTTTAGTTTAGTTCAGAAAGGTTCTATATTGACCGCTTAGAGTATATATAATATACTCGGTTCTATATTGACCGCTTAGAGTATATATAATATACTCGGTTCTATATTGACCGCTTAGAGTATATATAACATATAATAAAACATCTCTTTGTCTACACTCTTTTTTGATATTAATATTTAATGTTCTTTAATAAAGAAAAAGGTTCTATATAAAATCATGAACACTGAAATAACCCTTTGCATGATTTTATACAGAACCATTTTCTTTATTAAAGAATATTTAATATTAATATCAAAAAAAGTGTAGAAAAAGATATATTTTATTATATATTATATATACTCTAAGCTGTCAATACAAATTGTAAAATGTAAATGTAATTAATTATGTAATAAATATGTGAATAAGTATGTAATGAGGTAATTACTTTAAATAGTACAGCAAAACAAAAGTAACACTAAGGGTTAAAGGACCAGCTTTCACTGCCTCCGCTGCAGTTTCCCTGCTGAATGAGTGGAGAGTGAAGTGGAGTTTGATTGGTTGTTTTCATCTCTCAGGTATTCATGTGTAACCAGCCCAACTAAATAACTCCAGCAGTCAAATCCGGTTCTCCCTTTAGGAAAAAGAGATGTTGGAGAGTGTCAGTCATTCCTGAGCTATTTCAGTCTAATTCTCCCAGTGAAAGCACTTCCTCGCGCTCTGTTTGAGAAGTTCTGGAACTGGTCCGAGATGAATTTCCCCTTGAAGCTCAGAGAGGTTTTACAGCTGTGGATCTGAGTCAGCAGCTGCATGCATGACTCACACTGTCTTCGTGTTGGCTTTCTGATCTTTTGTAAGTCACACATAGAGAGATCTCGCTGACATTTTAGAAAAAAGCAGGTTTTGAACCTTATCTCAAGCCTCTGCTTTGAAATGCATGCTGTCAACAAGCTGCTGTTGGTTTTGATGTGATTAAAGGGCATATGGCAATGTGAGCAGTGGGAGTGTTCGTTGTCATTCGCTGGATTACAAAAATATACAAAGAAACTCTGCATTCATGCACAACCTCCTGGCATCTATTTGATGCATACCTGAAGATGAATTCGACCATTTTTAAAACGTTTCTGCATTATTAGATCATTACGATGTAGACAGAGTCTACCAGTTCAAAATTGTTTAGAGTGGTTGTGATAGGAACCAGGCGTTCAGAGTGTTTTCTGCCTCTCTAACAGAAAGCGATGGCATTTAATGGCTATAAATATGTTGTCTGAGATTAGGTTTCAGTCTATAATTGGGGCACTCGTGGGCTGGCGGTTAGGGAACCAGCCTTGTGACCAGAAGGTTGCCGGTTCGATCCCTTGAGCCGACTGTACGTGACTGAGGTGCCCCTGAGCAGGGCACCCAACCCCTAACTGCTCCCCCTCACAGAAAGTTATTACACAAATGGGTTATGAATACAGTTTCTAGGGCCTGAGGCATGGTTTTACGCTAGCTTAAAAGTAAAGTTTTGGCCAAAGAACACAATTTTTTCAGATTTACCACTGTTTTATCATCAGCAATATTACATATACAACTCAGAAGACATGTATAGGTTCACTGGCTGTTTTGGATAGTAAATAAAAATGATTATGTTTGCAGTATAGATATTGTGACACCTGGTTCCTGTAACGCCCATTGTAAAGAAAACCTGAGTTTTTTGTTTCTTTTATTTTTTTCTCTTTTACAGTCCAAGTTTCTCTGCAATTAATTTTGTTTCATAGCAAAATATTCTAATGACTTTGTCTGTATTTCACCAACTGAAATAAAACATTTTGCTTTTAAACACTAACCTAGAACTTTCCTTTTGACAATAGTGAAAAGACTCATCTACACTCATAAACAATCACAAGAACACAGCAAAGTACGAGATCATGTTCTTTATTTCTCTGCAGCCTCATTTTTGTTACAATTTAACATGCTTCTTTCTTTTCTCTCTCTCTCTGTAGGAGGAAATGGCGGAGCTGAAAGCTCAGCTGTATCTGCTGGAGAAGGAGAAGAAGGCTCTGGAGCTGAAGTTGAGTACACGCGAGGCACAGGAGCAGGCTTATCTGGTGCACATCGAACACCTAAAGTCTGAGGTGGAGGAGCAGCAGGAACAGCGCAGGAGATCACTGGGGTCAACAAGCAGCGCTGGAGCCAAAGATAAGAGCGGGAAGGTCAGTGTGGATCCATTTTAAATGTGTAGGCAACTCAGTCACAAATAGTGAAACTCTTTCAGTGATCCTAAATGTTTGTGACTTGATCCTTGAATTTGTATAAGAAATCAAATTATGAAGATGAAGTTACGTTCAACCGGGAGTGACTGTGGTGACCGCAGTGGTAAGTGTTACTGACAAACTCAAGTAGGAAATTGGCTGGTCATCCTGTCAGCTTTAGTAATTGCTGAAGAATAGCACTGATACCAGGTGACCTTGATAGGGAATAGATCACTCGAGGATTGTTAGCATTTGTTGGCTGATTTAGACTAGACAATGAAATTAAACCCAGCCAAGTTCAACTAGAAGTTAGTAGTTAGCCAGTAGAGAGAAGGAACAGCTCAGTTGTGGCTAAATATAGTATCATTTTTTCAGTATTTACTGTGTCCACCCTTTGCTACTTACAGATTTCATTCTTTTCAGGTTGCTTGCTTTCAGCTTTTCAGCCTAATCTGCAGGGATATTTTTCCACACCCACAAAGTTCAGTCTTAGAAGTTGGTTGCATTTTCTGCTACTCACAATTCAAGTAATCCCAAACACATTCAGTGATGTTTGAGGTCTGGACTCTGAGGTGGTCAATTCACTGAGGTGGTCAATTTTGAGAACACCAGCAGCTTCTTTGTTTCATTTGCAAATTTCTTTTTCTCAGTAACAGCTTCTTGACAGCTTGACATCCTTTCAGACCCATAGTGCTGAGTTGTCTTCTCACAATGCAAGGATGGACAGAAACACTTTTGGGGCTTGGTTTTCTCGTCTCTCTCAAGCTCATGTTTTTTTTATCTGGTGGGGACAAAGTTGATGGTCTACCAAGTTTTGTCGGTTGTTGTTAGGAGTCCCATTTTCTCTGTAGTATTTAATTATTTTTTGAACTCCAGTTTTGGAAAGTTTTTCACTCCTACGTTCACTGCTTCTGATGTATTAACCTGTAACTTAATTTACTTGTAACCACTCTGAAAATGCTAAACAAACATATTGGAGCAAGTTTCAATAGCCATGCAGGGTTATTACCTGATAATCCGTACAGAGCATTCTGGAGTACAGAGAATTACTGCACTGTTCTTCTGGGAAAGAAAACTCATTCACTAAACCTCTTTGATTAATGTTTTGCATAGATTTATTATTTCCTCCTTTTTCTTTTTAGAAAAGGCCCAGATTGTGTTTATGTTGAGTCTCTTCCCTGCCTGAATGTTGGTCATGGTCATCATTCATTAGAGAAGCTCAGTGTGCCAGAAGTGGGAACAGCTGGTGTGTGTTTAGCAGCTGAGAGAGCATGTGCTGGTGGTGAGATGGTTTTAGAAAGACTTTGGTGGAGGCACTCACTTCACATATTCATCATTCATATACAATAACATCTGTTATAATGTAGATAGAACTATTATACTTGGCATCAAAAGGAATTTCTAAATGTTTTATTTAATATTTCATGTTTTCTGGGATAAAGAAGAACCTAATAAAATTCTGTGAAGTTTTCAGCCTTGATATTTGACCACCACTTTTGAAATATGAGGCATTCTGAATACTAAATGTAGTTTTGGATTTTAAATGTAGTTGTTTAAAGTTCATTTTAGATGTTCTGCAGCTGTGTTAATGATTTTTGAATCATCATTCTGGACATGTCTAACATTTTCTTGCTTATTACTTAATTAGTTATTAAACTCCTGAAATCAGAGCACATTTTCTGTCCTTACCATCAGAAGGAAATCATTTTTGCGTACTGTGATGCATTTCTGAGTGAAACACCCTATAGGGGAGGGTTTCTGAGCTGGAGCATGTGAGTGGAGTGGAGCGGCAGACATTTCCGTTCCTCGCTCAAAGCTTTTCTATAATCACTCCGGCCCAGCTCGGCTCTGGATTTTCTGTTTTCCTCTCTTCGCTCACAGGTCAGAGGAACTCTGCTCCATGTCTGCTGCATATGATCCATTCTTATATTTGTTTTATGTGTTGAATGTATGGACAAGACACTACACATTTCGTTTCATTAATAATAGAATTTATGGATGTTATTAAATGAAAAGTTGAACACAGGCTTTTTTCGGAAGGTACAGGCTTGAAGAGACACCCAATCACAACCTGGAAATCTGCAGAGTGTTAACAAATGCATGTGCTTTTAACATGCTCTTCTTCATCATCCGTGCAGCAAAGTAGATGACATTAAACTAACTCTGTGTAGTGTCTGTAGAGCTTAGTTGTGTTTGGTGAGAATTTCAAGTATGTAGGTCTGTTGAACAGCTCTGCAGAGCAGACAATGTGTATGAGTGGCCATCACGTGCGAGCTGTAGCAGTCACTGCCGCATCACTCATGTCATGCAGAGGTAGTCAATGTTGGGGAAAAGGTACTGTCTGGCTCAGGGGGTACTGGAGTGGTTTCGGAGTGAGAGAGAACACCGACACTCTGGCTTTCTGAAAAGCTGCTCCGCGATCTGAGCAAAATCAGGTCGCTCCGCTCCGACTCCGCACTGCTCACATGCTCTGCTCTGAGCTGGCTGAGCGTTTTCTATCAATGATGCTGCTCTTATGATGCATTAAAAGTTATTTGACTGCTAGTGGCGCCCCGATGTGTAGAATTTCTTAGCCTGCTCATTGTCAGTGAGTGAGTGAGTGAGTGAGTAAGATAAACTGAACTAAATGTAATATAGAAGTCACATTGGCATAATGTACATGGCATATTAGAATCATTTTCAGGCTTCCCGCACATCTTGGAAAACCTGGACATTTAAAGTCATGGAAAACACCTGGAAATTGGCTAAAATGTCCTGGAAATATTAGTAAAGTCCTGGATTTCTGGAAGGATTCTCAGCGGGATTCACAGCATACCTGAAAGATTTGGGTATGCATTTTTATTTTTGGTTTGCAGAGAAAAAAATAAGTTTGGGGTAAAGTAAGGCTCACTACCTAGACCCAGTGTGTCAAATACAAAGGGCCAAGTCAGGCCCGTGACACAGTCCTATTCGGCCTGCAATATTTTTTTTTTTTTATTCTTACTAGCCAGTTTCACCCTAAGATGAACTACAGTCCCCAGCATGCATTGCAACATAATGTGTGTTCTGACCCCCTTCCCCAGCAACAATCTATGGGCCAGCGGTTACACACAAAGGAATGATGCCTGGTGTCTAGTTCAAGCAAATAGGCAGTTTTAAAAAAGAGCTACCTAAAAAAATTATTTTTATTACTAATTATTATTTCTAATTAAGTAGTCAGCGCCTATTTTGCTGTTGCAGTTTGCGTATTTTGAATAAACAATGGCCAGTTTGAGTCAAGTAATGAAACGAAAAACACATTTGCTGAGATTTTTTCATGTGGCCCTTTTAGTGGTTGAGTTTGACACCCCAGACCTAGACCCTGTCCCCCAGCAGAATCAGTCCACATAAATCTATTCATTTTACTTTATCTACCTTTGTTTTCTTTTTCAGGATATTGTCTTGCTTTGACTTTTAAAATCCTAACAGATTTCACAAACAAAGAGCATTTGTCACGCCTCCTGTCGAGGACGCCTCCTCCACCTGTTCCTTTTTCCTCACTTGAGTCCTTGAATGGTCCAGAGCACTCCAACTCCCATGAATCAGTGGGAGACCACGTGACTCTCATCCCATAGCCGTCAACCAATGAACATTCATTTCAGCGTTCCTCCTCACCAGAATTCCAAACTGTCACACCTGTTTTTCATTACACTCCATTAGTCAGTTAGTATATAAAGCCCAGGCTTTAGCTTAGTAATTTGCGATATATATAACACTTTGTTGTGTACTGAGTGTTCTTTGTTTGTGTTCTTTTGTGTATGACCTGTTTTCCATATTTCTGACCTGCCCTTTTTGGTTTGTTTGCTGGATATTATGTGAGATTTTGGTTTTTGAACTCAGACTGGTTTTTGGCTACTCTCTGGATGTTCGTCTGTTTTGGCTCTCTTGCTCTCTGGTTCTGACCCTAGCTTGTTCTGACTACGCCCTCTGTACCTTCACCAAAACCTCAAGTAAACTTCAGCCTTGTCCTTTTATCTGCGAGCATCTGATGTGTGTTGACATTGTAACAGCATTACATACTTAACATCAGTCTTTTATAGACGTTGGTGTGTTTTTGTCATGAGAGCGCACAGTAGACAAAACAAAAAGAGGGTATAACTCACATAATGAGTTTAAGCTACGAACAAGCACTCAGGTCTCACTGTTATCGTGTAATAATTACTGAGCTAGAGTGAACAGGACTTGTTTGTGCTTTTAAGCACACACAAGAAACGTAACGAAAAAAAGGTACACTGGGGATGAATATGTGGTTGAGAAATGCCGATATGACAGTGAGAGCTAGTATTTGATTTCTGGTCTCCTCATTGGCTGTTACCTGAATCATTAGTTCAGATACATTGCTCACATCTCATTCTGTGGGAATCATGAGTCATAGAAATTGAACATTTAGAAAAATCGGAAGGCCTCTGATCGCTCCAGAGCTAAATCAGAAGAGTGACTCATTTCTCCTCTTACCCTTCCAGATCATTTGTGCTGGTAATTGCTTCCAGTCATTCCGACCTGGAAAATCACTTCAGACTGTGAAAATTTGTCCGAACTTATCGAGGTTAAATGTGTCTGGGTTAAAATCAGGCTAAAATTTGTGTACTGTAGGTCCAGCTTCACATGGAATTTTGACTAGATTTGGTTTTCATATATTGTGCATGTGTTGTTTTCATGCAGTGTTAAAAGTTGAATTAGGGTACTTCATGCCAAAGAGGGGGGTTGAATAATTGAAACTACCATCCTTTATTTGTTATAAATGAATTGACACAGCTCTGTATGGATTCTGCTGAATTGGTTCAAAGTGGAGTGACTCTATACCTTAATAATATTTATTTTATTAAAGAAATGATTGAACTTTTCATTTTGTCATTACAAAACATTACCAAATGTTTCTGTAGTGACTGTTTCTGTAGTGACTGTTTCTGTAGTGACATTTTGAGATTTTAGTTAATTTTGAG